TCAATGGCTTTTTTTATACACCAATAATGAGTTCACAGAAAGAGAAAATAAACAAAGAATCCCATTTACCATTGCAACAAAAAAGTAATATACTTAGGAATAAACTTAACCAAGAAGGAAAAAGACCTGTACTTGGAAAGCTACAGGATGTTGAAAAAATAAATAGAAGAAGATATAAACAAGTGGAAGAATATACTATATTCATAGATTGGTAGAATCAACATCATTAAAATGTCCATATTACCCAAGGCAATCTACAGATTCAATGCAATCCCTATTAAAATACAAACAGCATATTTCACAGAGCAAGAACAAATAATCCAAAATATTATACAGAATCAAAAACAAACAAACAAACAAACAAACAAACAACAAAATCTCCAAATAGCTGCAGCAATCTTGAGAAAGAAAAACAAAGTTAGAGGAATCACAGTACCAGATACCAAGTCATACTACAAAGCTACCAAAACAAAAACAGCCTTTTTCTACTGGCATAAGAACAGGCATATAGATCACTGGAACAAAGCAGAGAACCCAGAAATTAATCCAAGAAATTATGCTCAAATAATATTTGTCAAAGAAGACAAGGGTATACAATGGAGTCAAGAGAGTCTCTTCAATAAACTGTATTGGGAAAACTGGACAGATACATGCAAAAAAATGAAACTAGACCACCAACTTACACCATACACAAAAATAGATTCAAAATGGATACTAGTAAAAGACTTATATGTAAGTCTTGAAACCATAAAAATCCTAGTAGAAACCATAGGCAGAAAAATCTCAGATATCTCTTGTAGCAATATGTTTATAGACATCTCCTAGGGCAAAGGAAACTAAGGAGAAAATAAACAAATGGGACTACATCAAAATAAAAAGCTTCTGCACAGCAAAAAAAAAAAAAAATCAAAATGAAATATATGGGAGAATATATTTGGCAATGATACATCTGATAAAGGGTTAATATCCAAAAAATATAAGGAACTAATACAACTTAACAAAAGGAAGATAAACAATTCAATTTAAAAATGGGTAAAAGGACCTAAATAGAAACTTTTCCAAAGAGGACATACAGATGGATAAGAGACATATGAAAAAATGCTCAAAGTCACTAATCATCTGAGACATGCTAGTCAAAATGACAATGAGGTACCATTGTCATAATGGCTACCATCAACAAATCAACAAATGATAAGTGCTAGCGAGGATGAGGAGAAAAAGGAACCCTGGTACACTGCTGGTGGGAATGAAGACTGGTGCAGCCATTATGGAAAACAGTATGGAGTTTCCTCAAAAAATTAAATATGGAACTGCCATTTGACCCACTGATCCCACTTCTAGGAATATATCCTAAAAAAAAAAAAAATGCCAGAAAACATCTATGCACCCCTATGTTCATGACAACAATTTATAATAGCTAAGACCTGAAACAGCCCAAGTGCCCATCAGTAGTTGAGTGGATAAAAAACAAACAAACTGTGGTACAGAAGCCCACTAGGCAGCAGTAAAAGAATGTCTACTCTTTAAGACAGCATGGAGGGACCTAGAGAGTATCATGTTAAGTGAAATAAGTCAGTCAGAGAAACAAATATCACATGATCACACTCATATTTGGAATCTATGTAACAAAATAAAATGATGAACAGAGTGGAGCAAGAGACATGGAAGTATGGATCAGAGTGTGTAATCTCAGAGGGAAGGCGAGGGATGGTGGGTGGGTGGGGTTTAATCAACAAAAAGTTGTATGTATATATGCATGGCCTATGGACACAGACAATAGGGTGCTGAAGGCCTGGGGGGCGGGGAGGTAGAGTTAGGATGGACTGGAGGGGGTCAATGGGGAAAAAAGGGGGACAAATGTAATATTTTCAACAGTAAAGAATTTTTTTTTTAAAGAATGTTAGCTAGAGCCATGAGAAATTATAAAAGTGTGGCCATATTTGGCCCACACAATTCCATGTAGTTTAACAAATGAAGTGCTGGACACATGTCTCCCCAAATATGGCCTCTTCTTCTAGGAAGCCTCCATAGCCACCCCACATTTTCAAATCTCTTACAGGGCGAGGCGTGATTTAGTACCCACTTCTTTCCTGTCCTGAGTTTCTCCTCTTTCCTGAGTGTAGATAGTCTAGATTCCCCACAATTTAGAATCTGTCAGAGTAAGATCTCCTTCCCTGTTCCCAGACTGCTGGAATGCCACTGCTGTCCTCTTTTAGGGTTTTCACACAGAGACAAGAAGAGGCCAGGTTTCATCAGGGGATACGGCGTGCCTGTTTTATCCAGTGGTCATTTCTGTACCCAAGGGGGTCCTGAATGGGTAGTGCTGACCAAACTGAGGGCAGGCGAGGTGCTAGAAAAGAAGGAGTTAAGGGGCTCTGACCCTTGGTCAACCTGTGGCAGCAGAACCTTGATCATATTCTCTATCTCCTTCGAGGATCCCCTTCAATGGCATTAGCTAACTTCCAGGGTCCCTCTACTTATGTATAGAGTTGACATTTATTGATCCTGCTCTATGCCACCCTTGTATTAGTGCTGAGATCCCTGAAATGAGTTGGAACTATCCTATCCTTAGGGAGCTCAGTCCTGAAAGGGACACGGAGTGTACTGTATAATAAGTGCTCGGGTTGACAGGAGCTCATGGGCCATGGAGACCCAAAGTGAGGACATGACCAACACTTTGGGGTCCAGAAGAAAGTTCTTTGAGAAAGGGCTTTCCCTACCATGGGCCACTGGGAAGCCTGTTTGGGCTGACTTTCTGAAGTTGGGGTAGGGCAGACTAGCTCTCTGCTGGACACAGAAGCCCACAGAAGTGAGTTAAATGGAAGTATCCCCATGTGCCTGGCATACAAGGGCAGGCAGGCATCACAGCTGATTAAGAATATCCTTCTCAAGGAGACCCAAGGATGTGTAGGGATTAGGCCTCCCAGCATCTATGCAGGGAAGTGTCAGTTCAAAGCTGCTCAAAAGTTGAAATGCTAGTTAATGGTGATATCATCACCCTAGTCACTCCCTCCCTCTATGGGAAGTCCTGTAATCCAGTGGGTAGAACAGAAAAGCCCCTGTCAGGCTACCCACTCCCCTCCATCTTGTTTCCAAATTTTCTTCTTTGAATGGAGTAGGAGAGATGGTCACAAATGGGCTATGAGTGAGAATAAAAAAATTCTTTGAAGAAAAACTTCATGTTATTCTTCAGAAGGACGGCAGAGCTAGGGGATATTACTGCTTACCTCCTATCTTGGTGAGGGTCCACTTTAGCATTAACCTAAATTTCAATCTTCCCTGGCCAAGTCTCTTCCTTCTAATGCTCCATCTCCACTTCTGAGCTAATTCTAGAATGTTGCCTTGAGAGGTTGGTGACCATAGGTCAGGTCAGGAAAGGGGGTCTGGCAGCCCAACTGATGTGGACGGGAGGGGCCGGGCTTTGTCAGGATGCTGGAGAGCAGAGCTGCATTGTATCTCTGGCTGTGCTGGTGGAATTGGTCCATCAGCCTGGAGACTGTACATGGACAGAGAGGACCACCAGCTGGCTTGAGGCTGGGGGAGGAGAACAAACTCAAAGGGAGTGGGGCTGTGTTCTGCTGCTTGTGGGTAGGAGCAGGAACACCCCTAGCTTTGTTTCACAGAGGGATGTCATTGTCTGGATGAGAATCCAGGGAGAAGGAGGTGCAAAGCTAGTTCCAGAGCGCTAGCAGCCTCTGGCCTCAGAAACCCGCAATGGGAACCACTTCGGGAGAGGCGCCTGCATATAGACTCCGAAGCCGTGGTTACTTGCAGGTGCATTTCCTCAAAGTCTTACCTCAAAGAGCTGGGTCTTACCCACGTGCGCGCCCTGGTGGGGTCCCAGAATTTCCCTCAGGAGCTCCTTGCCCGGATGCTGCAAATCTCCACAGGGGAGAGGCCGGCGGATTTACTCACTCCCCCCCCCCCCCCCTTCCTTCCTCTCTCCTGCCTCTCACAAGAATAAGCCTCCAAGCAGCGCATTTCCCAGAAAATCCTCTCCAGGCGCGTCTCAGAATCCAGACCACAGGCCCGCCTCACCCAGGAGGATCTCAGTCTCAACTGAGAAGCAAAGCCGCCCTGGAAAGGTGAACCCAAAGCTCGGAGGAAAGACCGCGGAAACCCTGCCACTCAACGCTGGTGTGGGGAGATTGGCAACTCCTATCGCAACCCTAGACTTGGGGTGCGCTCCCAGCCCTTGGCCGAGGAAATATATTAAGGGTTTAGAATTAAGGACGGCTCTCACCCCAGGTCCTAAGGTTTGGCGAGAGTGCACCTAGTGCCCCCAGCCAGACCCGCCCCTGGTCCCCGCCCACCTCCCAGCCTCCTGCCTCCGTCGCTGCCCCTTTAAGGAGCCCAGGTAGGCCCTCTAGGCCGAGGGAGCCGCTCCTATAGCAACCCGCGAGCTGCGGCGGCTTCATGAATATTCTGGGGCCCGGGAGCTGAGCGATGCTGGAAAGCGCTCAGGGAAAGGCGGCCGCTGATGTAAGCTAGGTGGACAGCTGGGCTCCGCTTGGTTGCGGCGGGAGCCCTGGGATGGGCCGGCCGGGCTCATCCAGAGGAGGCGAGGCAAGTTCGCGCGGGGCTGGCCATAAAACCCGGGCAGCTGGGCAGACGAATAGCCCGTCTGCCCGCGGGACACACGCCCGGGAGGCGCGCAGGTCGTGCGCTCTGCGCTCCTGAGCAGCTTCTCCCCGCGCCCATTGTTCCCCGTGGGGCGGGGCGTCTGGAGCCCGGCCGCTCACCGCGCCCCAGAACGCAAGAGGAGGGAAGGGAGTTCGGGGTTCCCGCGCCTGGCCCGGGAGGAGACGCGGCGCGGCGAGCCCAGGGACCGGGAGCACGACTGGGAACCTCCCCGCGGCGGCAGCCTGCCGGAGCATGGGCGCCTGAGGCAGTCCGCAGCCGGCGGCTAAGGACGCGTCCCCGTGGGCGGACTGACCGGCAGGCAGACCTGGACTGTCCCCTGCGCCGGTGCCCCCAGCCGGATCCCCGGCCCTGGCACCATGGACAAGCTACCGCCGTCCATGCGCAAGCGACTTTACAGCCTTCCGCAGCAGGTGGGGGCCAAGGCGTGGATTATGGACGAGGAAGAGGACGCAGAGGAGGAAGGTGCTGGGGATCTCCAGGATCCCAGCCGCAGGAGCATCCAGCTGCGGCCGCTGCCCTCGCCCTCGGTAGCAGAAGGCGGCCCGGAGTCTCGAGGCGCGGTCCTCGGGGCGGCGGACGGCGAGGGGCCCGCCCGTGGTACGGGCAAGTCCAGTACGAACGGAGACTGTCGGCGCCTCTGCGGGAGCCTGGCCTCGCTGGGCAGCAGGGGCGGCGGCGTAGCAGGTGGCAGCAGCAGTCACGGGCACCTGCATGAATCCGCGGAGGAGAGGCGGCTCATTGCTGAGGGCGACGCGTCCCCCGGCGAGGACAGGACGCCTCTGGGCCTGGCGGGAGAGCCTGAGCGCCCCTGCTCCTCCGCGAAGCCCTCAGCCTCTCCACCGCCACTCCAGCAGTCGCTGTCGCCGCAGTCAGCCTCCATCTCCTGCGAGCAGCCTTCCGTGGACACCGCTATCAAAGTGGAGGGAGGCACGGCCACTGGCGACCAGATCCTCCCCGAGGCCGAGGTGCACCTGGACCAGGCTGGCTTCATGCAGCGCCAGTTCGGGGCCATGCTCCAGCCGGGGGTCAACAAATTCTCCCTGAGGATGTTTGGCAGCCAGAAAGCAGTGGAGCGGGAGCAGGAGAGAGTTAAGTCAGCTGGGTTTTGGATTATCCACCCCTACAGCGACTTCAGGTAAGGAAGCCCATGTGCTCTGGGGCTGTCTGTCGCAGGGATGTTCCTTCTCAGCCCTGTCTCTCAGCCAGAGTTAACTTACTTTCCTTTCTCACACTGGAAGCTCCAAGACATCTCCAGACCTCCTTCCTGCAGAGTGCAGGGAACTTTCCTCTGTATTCTGGGCTGCAGACCTTGGCCACATTAAATACTGGCTGAAAAGGTGGTCTGATCCTGGCCTAGCCCTGCCATCTTAAGCCATATATCTCCTCTGGGCCACAGAGTCAGAGTAGTCATCCTAGAGACAGTCTATTCAGCCTGAAGAACAGGGCCATGAAGAGAAACAGACCTCTTGGCAGTTGGGCCAGTTCCTTGGGTGCTGTCCCCCATGCTGTTAATATCTGCCTCTGATGCCCTGGGAAGCTATAGCTGGGGAGGGAGAGCTGAACCTCTGGAGGACTGAGGTCACTGGGGCCTCATGCCCAGGATGACAGTCCTCTGTATCCACATTAACTCTGGGCCCAGTCCCTCATACCAAGTGGTAGGCCAGGAGTAGATATCCTGGGTAGCTGGTATCCAGACTGGCAGGACAGGATGACCTTGCTCACAGTGATCAGTGAAGATGCCCTATATCCTGACTGATGAGCAGCTGTCATGTGACCCCAAGTTTATACAGTGTACTGTCCTCACTCCAGTGGCCCAAGTTCTAGCAACTGCTAGGTCTTTCATGGGTCAGCTGTGGGGCTCCAAACAAATGGTGTGACTGCCAATCAAAGAGAGGGACCCTGCCTCCTCCTCCATTACCTGAGTCAGATGCCACTGAACAGCAGATACTACCCTGGGCCTGTGCAAAAAGAGAAATTGGTGATTGCCTCTGAAGTTGAAATCAGGGATTCCCCTCCCTCAACCAAGGTCTTGGGTCCCCAGTGCTCCTTTGGGCTTTATTGATACACAGGATTAAAGTGAGGGTCTTAAAAAACAGCCCACCTTTTGATCTGGGTTTAATTTATTCTCTGAGCCCTGCCCCATATGGAGCTCTCTTACTGGCCTATCCTGCTTGTCTACCACTATCAATGAGCATTTTGTCAACTCAGAGTCATCTTTGCAAACTCCAGGGAAGGTAGATTTGTTATGAGAACAAAGCCATTACCATCCAATGAGAGAGATTTCTCCTGCTGGGAATGACCAGTCAAGTAACACTTAAAATAGGTGACCAGAAGGCCTCTCCCTCTTTTTTTCTTTTAAACATTTATTTATTTATTTTTTGAAGGACTAGTCTTCCAAACCTTATTGTCCAAAGTTCCTGTTTCCAGAAGGTCTTCACATTGCCTGAACAAATATGAGTCCTCCCGTCAGGAATTCCGGTTGGTTCCCAGTGCCAGCTTTCTAAAGTGTGGCCTCCCTTCTGATCAGTACTGGGACTCGAGGACTGCAGCCTGAGCTAGGGAGGAGTAGGCAATCCTCTGGGTGTCCTGGGTTTCTTCCTTCTGAACTGCCTGGTGTGCCAGTATCAACCAGTATCAGCCAGTATCAACCAGTATCAACCAGTATAAGCTGTGCCAGTATCAACCAGTTGAGATTGTTGAGGAGGCCCTCCCTTCCTTTGCTCAGCTCTCCAACCTCTTTGTTGTCTGAAAACATCTGTTCAGGGTTCTCATCACCATCCAGGAGTTGGGGACTGTGAGGGACCAATCCCAGGCACATCTGTCCTCCATCAACAATAGACTTTGATTGAACATTTGGGCACTGGGCTGTGCCTTTCCAAGATCTCCTTTTCTTGGGTGGTGTAGAAGTAGGATTGGGTTGACTTCATCAATGGGAGCCTTCCTGATCTTCCTCTACCCACCTTAGCATGTCTATCTGCAGTCCATTGCTGTAGAATCTTCCATTATCTGCAGGCCAGCTGGTGGAGGGGGAGGTTGATGTGTTAGGGAGGAGTGTATGCAGCAAGATTGAAAAATGGACACAGTAAAAAGTCAGACTGGGCTTTGAATTTGGATTTGTCCAATAAGCAACAGGGACCAGTAGCTGGAAGAACACATCCTCTGTGTGCAGCCTGGTAGTTGTTTGCTGCTGGGTTGGGTATGAGGACAGAAATCTAAGAAAGACCATCTGTGTGAGCTTCTGGAGGAGCAGTGGTCAGGCCTCTCCTGTCACTAAGCCAGTGCAGCTGATGTCATTTTCAGCAGGTCCAAGAGGTAAAGATCTAGCTAAATCTTTAAGCTTAGAAACTGCCACATCCAACCCAACATCACTCACTGCCCCTAACCCAGTACCCTAAGCCTCAGCCCTCAAGTTTCAGCCACTAGCCTTGGCCCTCCATATGGTGCTAATCCCATTGCTAGCTCAGGCTTTACAAGAACTTCTGCAAGCATTGCTTGGGCCAGTTGAGGATTTATTGATCATTTTGATGGGCAGGATGCATTGATCCAGCAGCATTGGTTTAATAAAGAATTGCTAGCAAACCATGATAGATTGAATGTGTGGTTTGGAGTTCAGAGCTTGTTGTCATGGGCTGCTTCCCACATCTATTCCTGGGGGAAGAAGGCTGGTGCCTTTTCTAAGGGCTGGAGAGTGGGCTGTGCTCTGAGGGACCCACATATTTATTGGCCATGTTCAATGATAGGCTTTTCTTGGCTACCCCTGCTTCTGCTCACTTTTTACCCCCACCTCCACACATCATGCCCTGACTACTCCCATGACACTTCTAGGCTCCTAAGGCTTGTCTAGCCTCTCCTTCCTTCCTCTTCTACTACGGTACTCACTTGCCTTCTGAAACTTGTATATAAGGTTTGGTAAGGAAAGAGGCCAGGACACACAGCCCCTCAGGGCATTGTCCCAGGCTCCTGCCCAAGGTAGGTTGGGCTCTTGGGTCCTGGGCAGGTCCTTCCTTCCACATGAGCCGTGTCCTGGAAGTTGCTTGGTGGTGGAAACCTAGAATAAATAAAAATAGCATCTCCATGATCTTGTTTTTCCAAGAGGAGAGAAAAGGATTGGGAACCCCATGTGAAGATGTACCTGGTTTTATTCCCAGAAGTTGATCAGGCTTTGAAGGTGAGGCTTTGAGGGGATAGAGGGAGGGATGGGGATTGTAGGCCGGGGTGGGCGGGGGGGCGGTGTATATCTAGATGTCTGAGCAGGTGTCTGGGAATTTGTGGGTAGACAGGGAAGTCCTTATGTGGGATGTCAGTTCTGGGGCCACTCCTGTGCTCCTAGCTCTATCTTGGCCTTGAGAATGGGATGCTTGGCCCTTCTCATTCCTCTACCTTTTCCATCTACTAGCCTGAGCCATGAGGAAGGGAATGGAAGGAAAGGGAAAAGAAAGAAAGGGAAGACAGGATCCTTTTCTTGAGGCAGAACATCTGGGCCCCCAAATCATGGAAGCTAGACCAATGGCCTCCTGTGCTGATAACTGGCCCTACACACTTCCATTGCTCACCTCACATCAGCTCCTCATCCCTGCCTGCTATGGGGCCCTGCTCAGGTTATGAGCCTTGTCTGAGCCTCAGATTTCACCTAGGAAAATGGGAATCCCATTACCTGTTATTATGTCAGACACGAATTGTACAACTGTGATCACCCATAGAGGTGAGAAGCTCAGCTCCCTATCAGAGAACAGTGATGCTGTGGTGAGCCATACAGCCCCTGTCCACACTGCTTCCTTTAAAAAAAAAATATTTTTATTGATTTTCTTTTTACAGAGAGGAAGAGAGATAGAGAGTTAGAAACATCTATGAAAGAGAAACATCAATTAGCTGCCTCTTGCACACCCTCATTGGGGATGTGCCCACAACCAAGATATATGCCCTTGACTGGAATCAAACCTGGGACCCTTCAGTCTGCAGGCTGACGCTCTATCCACTGAGCCTTTCCTTACTTCTGGGCAGACTAAGAGTCTCATGCTCTACCGACTGAGCTAGCCTGGCGAGACAACTTCTGGGCAGACTAGATAGGCCTCTGTCCTTGTTCTGAATCTGAATCAGAGAACCTAACTGAGAACCTGTTGGAAATCTCTATCCAGAAAGATAAATGTGCATCCAGACACACAATATCACACTCAGTTTCTGGGATCTGTTGGCCCCTCTAAGTCAAAGACCATCTATGTGAACCTCACTCCAGTCTAGGCCATCCCAGAAGAGAGTTCTGGCCTGGTAGGAGCAGGTGCTAGCCTCCTAAACCTGGCATTCCTGGTGCCCTTTGTAATCTGAGGCTTGCGCATCCCATTGCCAGCAATGGGAGGAAATGAAAACACAGTTCGATGCCTAAAGATGAAAAGATACTCTGCCTGGGGACTAGTTTCTGTTTCCTCAGTCCTACACCTATACCTCTCCCATTCAACCATGGGAAGGACTGTTCAGGTAGGAGTTAGTGAGGCAGAAGGCAGCAGCTTTGACTCTGGGGCTGGGGGATTCTGTGGTCCCTCCTAGAGTAGACCTTCCAGGGCCATTGCCCAGAAATGCAGCTTCTGCTATTAGTGTAGAAATCCTGAAAGTGCTGCAGGCGTGGTGCAAGTGGAAGGGGAAAGGCACCTTGGTTCAGCGTGGAATTCCAAGGTGAGCTGCCTGTGTTGGCTGGCACAGTGAGCAGCAGGATTCTCTCATGATGAGGGTGTGCTCCACCTGATAAGACTATGGCTAGTGGTGGGTATGCTCAGGCTGTGTGGTCTCCCTGGATGCTAATAATGTACAGAAACCCCATGGGTCAGAAACCTTACATTGCTGGGTGGGAGGCCTGGACTCCATGTTTTCCCTGTTGTAAGACTTCAGGCCCTGGTCTGGTTTCTACGTAATTAGGCAGGGGCCTCTCCCCTGTCCAGCCATGCCCCATTTGCTCCCTTAGCCATTGCCAGCCACTGCAGGTGGCCTAATACCCCCCTACACACACACACACACACACACACACACACACACACAATTCTGGGATGTCTGCCTGTCTATCTTCTCTCCTCTTTCATGCTTTAGGAACCCAGGTCTTCTGGAATGCCCTTTCAGGTCATTGCAGCCACCATCATTCCTCTCTCT